GTTCTCCGACTTTGCTCTCTGTGGCTGGATTCTGCAGTAGAAGAAGGTGAGAAGGTCTGAAGATGAGAAGGAGGTTTTACCTAAAATACCACGTCACAGTGACCAAAGAGATCCAATACCAACAAAATAAAAGCATTATTTCATAAAAAAAACCTGTAAACATTGCAAAGAAACCCAGTCACGACGCCTGCATGTTCACTGCCGTACCTCCACCTCCTTCATTTAATACAAAAACACTTGTTGTCATCGACTGTTTTAGCAGAATTCCTCGGGGTACAGAGGAATTGTTCCACACAGGCTTAAAACACATCTGGAGTGTTTTCAACACAGTCGTGCTCATTAAGTGGCGAAAACTCAAGTGTTTGATGGCCGTTAATTACCTGTCTGCTCACCCTTCCATTCCTAAAACTGTCACGTAACCTCCTGTCCTCCTGCTGACTTCCTGCCCGAGGCAAAGTCTTCAGTGTCACAAAGGCGCCTCTTTTTTAACCCAGGTAGATCGCTATAGTAACCTGTTGTGCACACCTGATCTGCTTCGTTCAATCAGCTCCGAGCTGATGCATTTTTAACTGTTTTTTTCCCTGATGATATTTTAAGAACAGTGTAACGCATTTTTGTGACTCTAATGTGCAGCTATGAAAAAGTGCACTGAAAAATACTGACTCACAAATGTGAAGAGTTTCTGCATCATTTCTCTCTTACTTTATTTGCACCACCAGCGTGTTGGTTTTTTTTTTTAACTTATTCAAAATAGGAACTAAAGAAGACGTGAAAAAATAAAGATGAGCTCTATAAAAGCACGGGGGACAAACTTGAAGACACAAAAACCAAAGCAACAAAGACGGAGGAGCAGGTGAGACACAGGTGGAAATGTGAAGATGGAGACAGAAGAACACCGACCACAGGGGAACACAGAGCTGCAGATGCAGGCATCAGAGTCGGGGTTCTGACCCTCGAGCGAGCGTTTCTCTCATCGTCATCTTTGGATTTATAAGATGAAATTCATTGTTGTCGTAATCACGAGCTTACAGAGAAGAAGCACGGCTGAACTTGGTGCTGACAAACAGACACAATCAGTCATACCATTCGCATAAAAGAACAATAAAAAAGAATAGCTCCTATTTCATCATAAATAAATGGGCAATATTCATAATGATAGCAGCTTTAAGTAGTGGAAAAGATGATATAACAGAGGTTTTTCAGACTGTTGCACTGCACTTACGCGCACTCATGCGCTCGTGACTCGTCAGTCACTTAGTAGCTCTGCCGTAAAACATCAGCTGAAAATGAACATCATGTTTTATTCAGTGAGAATTTAAACTAGTGACCGAGACCATAAGCTCATGAGGAAAGTGTTTCAAATCTGCCTCTTCACAAGCTTCCTTTATACATATGACTTATTTTACTTGAATTTCTTTTCCTCGTCTACAGTTTCGTCTTTTTTATGATGTAACCAGTACTCTGTGTAAAGTGTTACAAAGTAACATGTTACTGTTACGTATAACTGTATTGGATACAGTTACTAGGCAAACAGTTATGTCTTTATGTTCTTTCTTCTGCAGGACGTGGAAGTTTGACCAAAGATGAACCCATATTTATTCCTGCACTCACACTACAATCAGCTGACTTCAGTTTCTGAGGGGGGAAATGAAGGCGTGGTCTGCTGTTTCAGAGGAGCGGAGATATGAACTCTGATTTCTATTGTTCAAGAGGACAAGAAGACAAATTGCAAACAGGACACCGACTCTTAGAAAGCATCTTCAGAGACAGCAGGCTGACACAAAGCGAAGACGTGTGATGTTAACACTGAGCAGCGAGAGCCTTCAGCATGTAACCAAAGCAGCGATGAGCATCAGACCTGCAGCGCTGTGGCCTCCAGTTCTACAGCAGAACAGCTGTCCAGAGTCAAACAGTAAAAGAAAGCGTGTGTGTGTGTGTGTGTGTGTGTGTGTGTGTGTGTGTGTGTGTGTGTGTGTGTGTGTGTGTGTGTGTTCTTTAGAATAAAGATTTGTGTCAGTGTGTGACCTCACACTTGTATTGCTTGTTATGGCATAATGTAAGAAGTAGGGTAGCTAAATGCTGCGGGGAGGTAATGTCCTGTGGTGGCGACATTTTCTTGACATCATTTATTTGACCTGCTGTTTTTGGACTTTTAGGTTAATTTGAATCTCATTTTAATTATTTAATAATTTGTCTGTTTAGGAAAATCTGTCAAATCAAATATGGAGGGAGCCACCGGGGTGACCCTTGAGAATCTTCAGGAGCTGAAAGCAGCTTAAATGACTGTAAATTGCTTTTCACCATATGCTTTTTGCTTTGTTTTATTACAGTTTTATGATTTTGCTTCTCAGTCATCTGTGAAGCACTTTGAGCTGCAGTCACCTGCATGAAAAGTGAAATACACTCATGATTGACTGATTGATTTTTGTTTCTCCCACAGTCTACATGCGAACACAGGAGTCGCCCCCTGGTGGTCATCCGCAACAATGCAGGTTTATGGGACTTCTGCACCTCACTACAGCTAGCCACATGCCCATCTTTTATATACAGTCTAGGCAGCGTTCAGTTGGACTTTGTTGGGAAAAAACCTCCAAAGGTTTTGTTGAGCTAACAGAGAGGCCCTGACTTTGCTGAACTGCTGCTGTTGTACATGCAGGTTTGTGTGTCTTCTCCCTCCCATGTTTTTACAGCGCACAGCTGCTTGCATACTTGCTCGTGGCTCTTCTGTATAAACTGGATTTTACTGAAAAGCTTTTGTTTAAGTGTAGCGAAAGCCTGATTGTTAAAGTTTGTGCAGGCTGGCGTCCAAACGCAGAGAGGATTAATAAAATGGACAGAAGATAAAACACAGAGCCTTAGTGTGTGTGTGTGTGTGTGTGTGTGTGTGTGTGTGTCTCACAAACGCAGTCACACACACAGGAAAACACACACTATTATGTCATTGATGATTTGCATTGCTGCTTTACAAGAAGCAGGTGGTTTCAGTCCAGATCTAATAACCAGAGCAACAGGTGCTCTGAAGGTGACATGCACGCTGCTATAATGTGACCGCCGTGTAATAAACGATTGGTAGGTTTGAGGAATGAGGCTCCCGATCAGCTGGTTATACGGTTTAAAAGTAAAAGCCAAAAAATAGCTCAAAGCTATTTCTGCCTCACCCCTCCCTTTCACCCTGGGGGGGGGGGGGGGGGGGGGGGGGGTGTCTTTCTCTAAGGCAGGGCCAGACTGAACCTATTATCATAACATAACCTTTGTTTTGGGTCTTTATTGATGGACACAGTGGAAATACAGGAAGCACACCCAGGCAGATGAGGGGACTGGCAGTAGCGCGCATGTGTTACCCTCCTTTAATATCTGGTTGAACAGATTGCTCCGGCAACCTTTTGTAGGAGGTGACAGAGCTGTCGCATTGTACACACACACACACACACACACACACACACACACACACACACACACACACACACACACACACACAAACCTGTGGTTTTTCACCACAGGTTTGTGTGTAGGAGCTCTGTCACGGCTGTTTTCAGCAAACTAAAAAGCAACCCTGACTTTAAAACATGACATTTTTACACAGCTTTACTGCAAATTACATCTGGAGGGAACATATTTTCTCTCTTTCTAATATATTTACTGTTGAAGGGACCGAAAGAGTTCACCTAAGCAGGTGGGTGAGGTTGAAAAAAATATACCAGACAGGCTTTTTATCCAGTAGATTAAAGCGCCCCTGGTTTCTTTTAAATTTGTCTTTTATTGACTTCCAACTTTCATTTTCATTTGTTGTCTTCAGGTTTAGAAGAAGAACTTAATGTTTCACAGCATTGTTGGTTTGTTTTTTTCCACAAACCATTAAATTAATATATATGTACACACACACACGAGTAACATAAACTGTGTGAGTGCATGTAATCTCTGTGCATTCCCTTTTAGGTCAGATGATGTCATTAAAAAGGTTCAGACAGCACAAACATGGTCCAGAGGTCCAGTTCAGCGACTCCAGTTAGCTGAGGTGAAGCCTTGCAGACAGCTACCAGCTACAGCCACGAATAGGCCACGCCCCTTATAATGCTAACAGGTGTTATGAAGGAGGAAATAATCCACACAGAGCAAACAGTTTGTGTATCAGGCTGTAAACATGTTCATTTCTGCTGGAAAGCTTTAACATGGGAGTCTATGGGGACTGACTCGCTGCTGCCTCTGCTGGTCGTTAGAGGAACTGCAGCTTTTCATCATTTGTTTTTTACCACCTGGAACAGGGACTAACTCTGCGTATGTCCCTCCAGGAATAGAAAATAAGAACATAGTCGTCTGTGGTGTCAGTCATCAGGCGTCTAATCAAGCTTTATATTATTTTCTAGAAGGCCTGCAGAACGCATGTACAGTAGGGTCCCGTTGTAGTGCAGCAGCACCAAATTGGAGTCTACAGAGTGTGTACATGAAATTGAATCCACTTGCATGTAGATGTGAGAAGCACAGCTCTGGCTAATAAAGAGGCTGTGCAGTAGACCCGCTGCTCTGATCAGAATGGATGCAGCGCGCTTTCTTTTTTCTCTTGGTTACATCAGACTTACTGTTGCAGCTGAGAGTTTTTGCTGCTTCTGTTCCATCAGTGTTTGTGATTTGTGCCAGAGGGCTGCACGCTCTCATTCTGACCTGTGATGGAGTCACACAGACTTGCTGTAAGTTTAAATCCTGCAGGGTGAATTATCCGGTCCGACCTCAGAGCTGTGGAGCTGTTAGTGACTCAAAAAGATCCTGAAGATTAAATGGTTAAACTTTTACACGCGTCTCTTTCTTTTACCTCTTCGTGTCTCTCACATCAGACAAAACCGCCCCAAACTTCTTCCAGCACATTCAGCCTGTCTGTGTTTTACAGTGCATCGGCGAGAAGGGCTGGAGATGGGAGGGTGTGAGAAGAGGAAGAGGAGGATGGGGGGGAGGGGGGAGGAGGACGGTCCTGCTGTCAAACACAGATGAAAATCCAGCGGCAGGTTTCAGGAGGACACCGCCGTTAGGTAATCGCATTTATCGTCTCCTCGGAAGCGGCGGGGGCGGGGGTCAGCGGACACCGAGCGCCGAGCTGCGCACAAAGAAATCCGTTTCATTCCGTTCCCTCCAACTCCGGAGCTGCTGGAGAGGCGACGTGTGCGTGTAGCCCGGTGACGGTGCACGGACACACACCGAGCCCAAACTTCAGACTGGATTCAGAAACTGGAGCCGGAGCAGCGCCTGTGCCTCGTAATTGGCGCAGTTACGCGGACGGTTGTGCGCCAGTCTCAGTGGCCGAGGAGCGTCTTCTAGAGAACATGAACGGGACACGTTAAAGAGCCGAGGCGGCTCGTCTCCGCGCTGAAAGGTGAGTGAATCACACCTGGCCTGTACGGAACTTTGGCCGGGGTGTAGTTCAGGGTCCGTCCCTCATTTCTGTGTCAAGTTCAGGCTGAACTTTAATTTCAAAAATTAAGTTTGAATCTCAGATCTTAAGCGAGAAAGTGGCTCAGCTCGCATTTTAATAAAAAATATGAGCTGACAGCTGGTTTCAGGTCGGAGAGGCTGAGGAAAGCTTTAGACTGTAGCTAAAAGATGGAGGACTCTACAGTCACATCATCCCCTGGTATCTGGCTTCAACATTTTAAACAAAACTTGGACTGCAGCCATGATGTTTTTGATTATCTTATTTACATATAGCTTTTTTTTTAAAAATTACTTTATGTGTTTCTTTCTTTTCTTTGGAGTGCTAGCTAGTTTGGTTCAGGCATCACACAGACACAGATGTCTGGTAATTACTGCTGAGTAAGAATTAAAATCAAACCTAAAAACCAGAGCTCAACCTTCTTGGATGGTCTGTTAGTGCAGTGACTTCACAGCAGCCATATTATTGGTCACATGATGTCAAAATGCTCCAACAGCAAAAAAAAAGTGGTCCAGAGGTCCAGTTCAGGTGAAGCTAGCAAACAGCTAGCAGCTACAGCCGCCTGTGTCACCGTCCACCTGTCATTCAAGAAGCCACGCCCCCAATGATGCAAACTTTAAGCCTTAATAAGCTTTAAACAGGTGAGTTATAAAAATGTTCTCCCCTGTACAGGTGCTATGAAGGAGGAAATGATCTTTTGAGACAACACAATTTTTGTAGTTTTGCTTTTAACATGGCCTCACTCCTGAAACCTCTTGTTGATATTAGAGGCGCTACATTAGCACAGCATAAATGAAGACTGGGCTGGAACGCTGAAGGCTTTGAAACATGTTCAGCTTTTGCAGGAGTGTACAGAGGATCTGTTTGCACTCATACTACCATTAAATGTCAGTTTTTCACCAAATTATGTTTTTTAAATAAACCTCCTGTTCATTAGAAACACCCACACACACACCCACACACACCCACACACACACCCACACACACACACACACACACACACACACACACACACACACACACACACACTGCACTGTTATGTAGATTTAACAGTAAACGGATTAAAATGACTTTCTCCCTCCGTCACTCTATACTTAAACAAGTTTTAATGATTTTTCCCAATTTTATATTTCTTAATTATAAAGTATTGAGATTCTCTGCTGTGGCTCCAAATTGAGCTGCGTGCATCCTGCTCACTTTAATAATCCCTGACGTGTGCCTGAAATTGGGATCATAGATCATAGAGAGCAGCATGGCACTCAAACAGAATCTAGGACAGAGCCATCAGCAACACAAACCAGGAAGTGGACTGGCTCTACTCTACCTGATCACAGAGTGCCTTACACACCACGTCTTGCACATCCATTCACACACGCACGGTTTTCCTTTGTGTAACTGCTTTGTGTCTAACAAGAAAGCTTCAGAGGTGGCTGCTTTTGCAGGAACGATGTAGACAAGAGTCCATAAGGGGAGTCAGCATGGGATTTTATTTGAAATTACAACATCATTGTATTTACTTACAAATATTTAAAGGTACATACACTAAAATAAGGAGGTAACAAGTCGGTTTTTAACAGAAAATGAAAGAAATGTGATGTAAATAAACTTTAGTACTGTGTAAGTAATTTAAAGTGGTTTCATTTATTAAGTAATTTAATGGGAATTCTGCAGAAAATCAAAGAATATTCTCTGATCTTGTGTTGTAAACATGGGGTAATTTTTGGGACATTGTATTATTAAACTGTCCTTTTATTTAAACACTATAAATATTTTCCTTTATTAACTTGTATGAAAAAATAAATATCTAAATCTGTAGCACAGCATGCTTACAACATGAAAGGGGAAATTTTGTTTGTTTTGCTTCACAATTACCACAAAATTGATGCAGTACTTAAATGACTCCTCCTTTCCTGTAAACTTAAAATTATTCATGCATTACTTAAATGTACTTACAGCATGACTTACAACTTAAGTGTGGTTCGCTGTCACGAGAAGTGAGGATCTCAGTCTTTTATAGCTCCCACTGAGCGACCTGTCAAACCCACGTTGCTTTCATACGAGCAGATTCTATATTCATCTTGTCGACATCAGGCCGAGGTGAAACTACTTTCTGCTCGAACCTGTAGAGCTGAAAGAGCTTCTTTGGTGATTCTCAGGCATTTTCTACTCTCTGGGTTCGTTCACGCCATCACTGTGTCTCACCGTCGAGTCACACAAATTGAGGCGTGAACTGGTGTGAAGAAACTGTGCAGGGTGTCGAGGCTAAAACGGGGAGTGTTGAGAGCTTCTTCCCCTTTCAGTCAATTTTCTATTTTACTGAAAAAGACACATGAACTAATGTAGACTCATTGATTTGTTCTTTAATGACTGGCATGGAAGAATTATTACAGCTGTATATATTGTCAGATTTGACACCTGAAGCCCAGATAGTTTAATACAGCACATCAGGATCAGTGTCTGATTTATTCAACAAAAAGCTTCATTTTTTTATCGTTGTCCTCGTTGTCTTGTTTCATCAGCAGGTTGGCTCAGCCTCTGGTCTAAATGATCATATAACACGGAAGAGCAGAAAACATATGGAAACTGGATGAGCTGTTCTTATAGGGTTTCAGGGTGAGCACAATTCTTATCTTAGCTACGTCTAGGTAAGCATGGTAATGTAGATGGTAAATGGCCTGTATTTGTATAGCGCTTTTACTTAGTCCCTAAGGACCCAAAGCGCTTTACTCCACAATCAGTCATTCACGAAAACAGAATTTTTTAAAATTTAACTGAGTTAGAAGTTAGCTCGCTAGTTTCCACCTAAGCATGATATAGCATGTTCTGACCGAGAGATTTCTGACACAAATTCAAACGTACAGCTCTGTTATCACTTCCAACATAAATGAAGACAGAAAACTAAACAGCAGTGACGTTTGTAGGGTTACTGAAGTTGGGCTAGCTGCTATATAATGATGTGCTACGTGATCGCTAGCGACACAGCTAGCTTGTTAGCATAGCATAAACACAGTGAAGCTGGAGGATGAACGCTAACTTTATTCCACTCAATAAAAGTTAACGTGAGGGTTCCCGATGGTTAGGGACAAATGCAATCGCATGGCAGGATGCTGTAAAAGGACCAAACTTCAGTCAGGAGAACAACTGAGCTAATCCATCCCCAATACGAGGTTAGTCATTCATATACTGCTGCATGGGCTGGAGTTACATTGTAAGGTTTTAAACACTGAGCTTTAAATTTAACAGTGGTAATAAAAACTGAGAGAGGCCGACAGTCATCACTGACTGTTTTTAGGGGCTTGTTGAGATTAAAAAGAACAAGATACAAAGCATTAAAACATGTTAAAATCACAACAGCTTTAATAAACAGAGTAGTTTGGACCTGGAAGCAGGGTTCATCACGTCATCACTTAAAAACTGGATAGCTTTGTCTTTTAGCATTAGCCTAGCTGAAAATCCTGCTTTGTATTTGACTTGAGAGTCGACTTTAGGTTTTCAGCTGTTGTTGATCCAAACTCTGCATTCTTTCTAAAGAACAGAAAAAACCTTTAATACTGAATAAAGAAAGAAAACTTTGTCACCCTGCGAACCTCACTCCCGAGTGGAGAATAAACGTTCGGACACAGCAGGTGGGTGGGGTTTTTTTGACCATATTTGGGATATCCCCTCACCAGCATCATCAAAGAAGCTCCTAGAATAGAAGGAATTGTCTGAATCTGGGTATTTATTTGTACCTACACATTTCATTATTTGAAAATCAGTTTTTATTATGACTGTTCAACACATGCACAGGAGATATGAAAGGAAATAAGAAAAAATAACACAATAAGTTCACTTCAGAATCCATCACCAAATTCATAGCAGACTAATAATGATTGCCACTGAGTCTGACATTCAGTATTTTAGAAGATACTCATCAAATTGGGTGATATTCATGGTCCTGTGCTTCACTGAGGGTTGTTGTTCTCCTGGCAGCGACTGCAGCGATCCGAACTCTTTTTCCTGGCACGCTGATTTGTTTTGATCAGACTCATTACAGAAGATGAGGCTTCGCACAAATATGCGAGAGGCCTCATCTTCTCTCTCCGCGTTTCGGGCTGCTTTGCTGCTGTGGCTCAATATGTCTGTTCAGTGTTGTCTGTGATTAAACACATCAGAAACCGGCGTCCTGCTCACATCCCATTTACTGCTCTTTGTTTCTTGATGGTATCTGACAGGTTATGACAGCGAGAGCTCGCTTTGAAAACTGCAATACTGACTCTGATGTCACGTCAAGCTTCAAGCCAAAACTTCTTAATCATTCTGAATTTGGATGTTTAACACCGATGTAGCAGTTAATTGAATGTGTCAGACAACATTTCCTAATAGTTTTATGTTGTGGGTACGAGTGGGGAACATTAAGGAAGATATTTTAGTCTTCTCTGCAAAAAAGGATGATTGATTTGGAGTAACTTTAAAACATGAACATGAAAAGTCTCGATAAGTGACGTAAAAGGACTTGGATTTGATATCAGTAGGAGGTCTGGGACACTTCCTTCACTACATGTTGGTCCCTATTGAGCCCCTTGGAGCCAAACAAGTTTGAATTAATGGAAGATTTCAACAGACTGAATCTGTCTTTTTGCTTCCCTACAGTTTCAGTGGAGCTTCCGTAAAACTGCGGTCAGTCGGACATAATAAAATCTCATCCATCCCGTCACACATCCAGCTGCCAGCATGCCCATCATCAGCAATGCCAACCACGACTTCAGCACCTACTCCATCAGCAGCGACGACAGCAGCCTCGACCGCTTCTTCACCGAGATCCCGGAGACCGAGACCCTCAAAGGCGTTTACTTCCAGCGCGCCAAGCTGCTGCGCGACCCGAAGGCCTCATACGTGGTCGACCGCACCTTGCAGGTTCTGATCAATGTCGGCGGCAACCGCTACACCTTCCCCTGGAGCACCCTGGAGCAGTTTCCTCAGAGTCGTCTGGGTCGCCTGCGCTTCTGCACCACCCCCGAGGAGATCGCACGACTCTGCGACGACTACGACGAAACCTGCCAGGAGTTCTTCTTCGACCGAAACCCAACAGCCTTTAGGGTCATCCTCAACTTCCTGGCGGCAGGCAAACTGCGTCTGCTCCGGGAGTTATGTGCCGTTTCGCTGCACGACGAGCTCGACTACTGGGGCGTGGACCCCGGACATATGGAGCGCTGCTGCCGCCGTCGCATGATGGCCCGGGTGGAGGAGGTGGCGGAGCGGGAGCGTAAGGAGGAAGAGTGGAGGCAGAAGAGGATGATGCTGAAGAAGAGCAGCACACAGACGGAAAAGGGCTATCGCAGACTGATCGTGGTGCTGCGCGATATGGTGGAGAACCCTCACTCCGGCCTGGCCGGGAAGATGTTCGCCTGCCTCTCCATCGTCATGGTGATGGTCACCGTCATCAGTCTGTGCATCAGCACCATGCCGGACCTCCGAGATGAGGAGACGAAGGTGGGTACAGAGCTTACAGAATTTATAAAACAGCCTGTGGAATCAGTTTGAAATGCATAAAACGTTTTAAATATGGGTTTAAATAAAAAAGAAATTTCTGGGATCGGGCTGAATGTTGAACCTGACGTCTGCATCTGGGGCCACTGTGTCACGGTCCTGGGTCGTTTAACCCAGCGTTTCATTGTATTTTGATATTCATTGTTTATGTTTTGGTTCTTTTAGTCTTCTTTAGCTCCTCGGTTGCCTAGTTATAGTTCTGTGCTCATTTAGACTCCTTGTGTCATCTTCCCCCGTTCCCATAGTTTCCCAAGTTCCCCTTGTTGTTGGGCGTGTCTTACCTGTCATGTTATGTCTGCATGGTTCCTGTTGTCAACTTCAGGTCACATCTGAATCCCATCATGCTTCCTATTTATTTTGAAGGTCTTGTTGTCTTGTTCTATGTGCCTAGTTTACACTTCCCTTGTGGCGTCATTATGATTTGTTTGTGTCAGCTGTTTCCCAGTGTGTGGCCACTTCCCTTGATCTCCCCTTGTTTGTATTTAGTCTGTGTGTTTCCGTTCAGTCAGTGTCAGGTTGTCTGTATGTACCCCCATGTCATCCTAGCCAAGGTTATAGTCATAGTTTAAAGTCATATGTGTGGTATCCACGGAAACCTCTAAATCTCTGCTCAAATCTCAGGTAAACCATTTCTAAAACCACCAAACAAAGCGAAGATGCCAAACAGTTACGCGGTTTTCTGGACTTAAATTTGACCCAGAGCATATTTTCAAAGGTGTTATGTGCTATAAAACACTTTAAAAAATGAGGCAAGGGAAATAAAAAATCTAACTTTTCTATGTTTGAGTCACAGTAACTTTGAAATAGTAACATCTGCAGTACTACTTACACCTCTGATGAAATCTCACAAGTATTCACTTTATTTTGATACCAAGATTGGTTACACAGAATTTATAATTGCAGAGAAATACAATGAATTTCCTTTTTGAACAGGAAACTTAACAGGTTAAACACATGGAAGTGTGTAAGACTTCTTTCTAACGGTCAGCAGCATCACAGACTCACCCAGTTTGTTCCTCTTCACACATTCGGGCTAATTGCAGAGTTCAGCAGTGCACAGCAATGCTAGCTCACACTCTATATAGCACGTAGCACTGTAGCTGCGCTCACCGCTAAACTGGAGTCTGGAAGGGGATTTTTCTGAAATATCTAAATTAAAACATGTAAATATTATTCAGGACTGTAACCACACAGGTGCCAATGAACCAGGAAAGGTTATAGGAAAGAGGAAAACTGGCTAACCAGTAGAGGCCTTTTAAAGGGATTCATGGATGTAAAGAAGATGTTGGCGTGACAGAGGATGCTGGGATAGGGTGAGATGGAGGCAGGTGATGTGTTTTGGTGATCACTGCAGGGAGCAGGTGACAGAAGAAGAAGTTTGTGTGAATGTGTAAATGTTGTGATGTGTGATCGTGTTGCTACCTCTACAGAGCTGCACATGGCGCATAACTGCTTTCTGTTCCTCACCAAAGAGTCTTTGCATCTAAACTTAACAACTGAAGCTTTCAGATGGTCCAAGAACAGCGTGCACTCCAGCGGTGGTACGGTTTGTGCGCTCGTGTGGACAGTAAACAGTCCTACATGATGATTTTCATGGTACATTGTTAGTTTATGATGACTGCTTTGTTGGAGGACTTCTTGTAAAAAAGATGATCTAATGCAGAAAATGGTGCTGAAGAGGAGACCTGGTGATGCTGGTTAGAGCCGGTTGTTGCTATAAAGCTCTTGTTTACTTCCTGACTTACAGTTTTATGTGTTGCAGAGATGAAAACATCATTTCTGCTGTAGTTGGCTCTCTGGGTCGTTCCCCTCAGTGGCGGAGCCGTTAGCGAAGGATGATTTTTAGCTGGAAATTTAATGAAAGTAATGAAAACTTCACAGAGCAGACTGTGTGTTGACTGAGAAACATTTCCACCACAACACTAAATATTTCATCCTATTAACGTCGGCTCACGTAGCTGTGATGCAAAGTGGGGCTGATTGTGATTAACTGACAGGTAAACTGATGCCGACAGAGCTGCAGATTTTGTTCTCTCTCACTGTGATATTTACAGACAGAAGTTTCTAGAAAAAACAAGAAAGCTCGCAGTGATAAACACGCTGCACGGTACCTGCACCCAGCAGCAGACAGGAGAGTGAAGATGTGACTACAGATGAACGTGCGATGTGTGGGCTGGATGTGTAAAAGCAGCTCTTAGCTAACACATTAATCACATCACAGTAATATAACAGTATTTACATGTACATGTACAGTCTAACTGCACATTTGATCCCTGAGATATTTTAATATAAGAAAAAGAACAGATGCAACAGTTTATCCCACAGTTTCAGTGATACAGAAACGCTGATTTAATTTGAAATTTTTATAAATAATTGTTTGTGCAGAAAATCCAGTGATTCTAAGACTTATATATATATATATTTTACTATGACCCTACTGTAAAAATATACATTTGGATGGCAGATAATTAAAAAAGCTTTCCTGATATATCGTTTATCTATTAGTTGTTTGTTTTGGTGTGTTCTGAATGGCCATGGAGATTTTTTTTATCAGTAGGAAAAGCTGTAAAACTTATGAAAAGCTTAAAGTGGAACATTTTTGTCCTTTACATTTTCCAAATTCATCCAGTGGTCCTGATTCTGGCCCCTGGGCCTTATGTTTGCCAACCCAACTCAGTATGAGACAAAGGCATCCACAGAAAAGTCCAAGAATACAGATATGGAGAATAAATCCTCTGTAATTACAAATAGGTGCGGTTATAAATCAGTGTAACTTCAGTGATGGAAAGAGCGATGACAGTAAAAAGACAAATTAAAGCACATTAATGGGGCTCAGGCGTGGATTGAAAAGCAGCTTCTGTCAGCATGACTGTTTGCTGGTTGTTTTCTGCCGGCGGTCTGAGGTAACCAAAGGAGACAGCGTGCAGAGCTGACTGCTGTTGTCAGTGTAAAGAGTCTGAATTTGGCTTTTGTGAGCTGGAGACAATAAATCGATTCCTCCCGAACGTTTTTGCAGTCGGTCGGACTAATCGAGCCGACAGAAAATCAAAGTGTGGACGTGAGCGCTAAAAGAAGCTGAAAGTTCTGAATCTGGCCGACCTGTAAGGTGGATGGTGCTGCTGCAGAGATAATCGTGCTAACGCTAGCTTACAGAAAATGCAGTGTTTTCATTTAATGTTAATTATCAGGAGTCATGGTTTGAGAAAAAAATAAGATCTGACGGATTTGCTTTTCAAAAACAAAATTTCACCTTATATCTCTACAACTAATCAGCGCAGGCCAAATTCTAAAGACACCACTCAATGAAATTAGTAAATTAGCAGTTTACAGCAGCCTCATATTTTATCCTTTGACTCCACTAGAGCCCTTATTTAGCTCCTCCCACTTCCAGGCCACCCTTTAAGACCACTTTCTTTTGATTGGATACTCTCTATGACATCATGTAGAACCAGAAGTAGAAAAAAACTGTGGTAAACTAAGTGATTCCGGTTCACATGGATTACTTGTGCATACACTGTCCTCGTTATCTGGTCATGTTTGTTATGCACATCATGGCTGGAACAGGATAGAAGAAGATCTGATGGCGTAAAACAGGAGAAAGCAGAATGGAAGCAGGAAAATCCTTTTTACTATACAGCTTTCACCAAGTAGCAGGCAGAAAGTTCAGGTGAGGTTCACCATCCTTTCCTGAATCTTACCTCCCTCACAAATAATTCACCTGTTTCCAGGAGTAGTATTTTATCAGGGAACACAGAGTTCTAGATTAAAAATATAAATTTTAATGCTTGATGGAAGCTGCCCGACGGCGTCTTCTCGTCAGAAGTCGTTCACATTATGTGCAGTTAGAAAAGCCCGTGTTCTTCCAGGTTGTAATTTTCACTTTTCTTTTTGTCGCTCTGGTATTTGTGGACAGTTCTTCATTCAGGCGTCTTTCTTTCTCATTTTTTTGTCATCATTCTGTCATCTGTTAAAATCACACTGGAATAAAAATGGATTTTTTCCCTGAGGCGACGCATACTTCTTATTACAACAGACACTTTTCTTTAGCATTCACCTCCAGAGAAATCAATGTAAGTGCTCTGCAGCTTTTAAATGTTTTCCAATTTCTCGCTTTGTGCAGGCAGACGTGGAATTAAAGTGATGGTAAGGAAAACCGAGAGGCCGTTTGCCTTTGGCACGGCGAGAGGCAGCGGGCCTCGCAGGTCACTGTTTTCTGAGGCTATCTGAGCATCAAGTGTGAAATCGATGGAGCGACACTTTATATTTGCTCCGTGTTTCTGTCCCCGTCTGCAGGGCGAGTGCTCCCAGAAGTGTCACAACATGTTCGTGGTGGAGTCCATCTGCGTGGCCTGGTTCACCTTGGAGTTTGTGCTCCGATTTATCAACGCCCAGAGCAAGCTGGCCTTCGCCCGCGGCCCGCTCAACATCATCGACGCCGTTGCCATCCTGCCGTACTACGTGTCCCTGGTGGTCGACATCAAAGACGAGTCGCACGAGGATGTCATCATGGGGGCCGGCAGAGGCTACCTGGACAAACTGAGCCTGATCCTTCGCCTGCTGCGAGCCCTGCGGATCCTCTACGTGATGCGGCTGGCTCGCCACTCTCTGGGCCTGCAGACGCTCGGGGTGACCATGCAGCGCAGCATGAGAGAGTTCGGCCTCCTGCTGCTGTTCGTCTGCGTGGCCGTGACCCTCTTCTCACCACTGGTTCATCTAGCCGAGAGCGAGCTGGCGCCGTTTGCCGCCACGCACCCCCACCACAGCTTCAGCAGCATCCCGGCCTCCTACTGGTGGGCCATCATCTCCATGACCACCGTGGGCTACGGCGACATGGTGCCGCGCAGCATCCCCGGACAGATAGTGGCGCTGACGAGTATCCTGAGCGGCATCCTCATCATGGCGTTCCCGGCCACCTCCATCTTCCACACCTTCTCCCGCTCATATCAGGAGCTCAAGCAGGAGTACAAGCGGGTGTGGAAGGAGGAGCGGGACGAGGAAATAGCCGCCGAGTCGGGGAAGAGCTGCTCCAAGGATGATTCTTCACTAGATGAGCTCAAATCCGTGTCGAAGAATGGGAACAACGGGATGAAGTCGAGCAAGACTCCCACGCTTCCGTCTGCAGCGTTCTGATGGAGGTCATGTGACACTTTTGGTTCATTATGTGTTAAAAACTTTCTCCTTCCCGTACATTAAAACTCTGGAGCAATTGTGCGATGAACAAAATAATATTCCGCGCTCTAGATTCATGTTTCCATCAAAGTGTGTCCCCAACTTATCAGGTTGTAGTCGCCTCTTAACTTCCACCAGGTCACTGAGGTTTGTTTACATCAATCTGATCTTGATCCTGATTTTGGCTCCTCCAATAAAAAGGAAATCGAGCGCTCCCTAAATCAGCGTCTGCCCACCTGCCTGCGTGAGCCAATCGCAGCTGTCCCCTGCATTGTGCCGCCAGCTCCACTGATTAACCAAGAAGATGTTATGCAAAGAGTGCAGGAGAGCTGCGTCTGCACCATAAAGCAACACAAATAACCTGAGAACACCCAGAACTGTAGAGTAACAATCACCCAACATCAGCTCAGACGTCCATGACAGCGAGGCTGTGCAGCATCCACTCACAGAGAAACACTCAAATCGCATTTCACGTGGTCAAAGATAAGTGCCGACTAACCACGGTGAGTAATGAGAGCTTCAGGAAAATGGTCAGCTTACTGGCAAAACATCTGTTGTTACCTCATGCAGTTGTTTTTCAAAGCAGCAAAACGTCGCTCGTGCAGGAACAACAAACACAGACTTTAGATCTTCCTTCTAGGAGATGAACGAACACTTGATTCATCTGCAGATATTCATTTATAAAGAATAACTACAGGAATGTTGCATTATGTAAAAGTGGAAACAGCACCCTGCTGATTTAAATTTCTGCAAAGTTTTGCGAAAAAATGTTATGAATTTATTTTATTTTGGTGCAAATATTTGTACAGATGTGAAACCATCGAAAAATCCGTGAACGATTGTAACAAATAATCAAAATAACGGCTTAAACCGCGCAGCCGCGCTGAACATTCATCACTTTTTATGGAGTTTTAAAAATTTTAGGGAAAAAACAATACAAAAGGAATATAACATCTTCTGGTTTTTCCTGCAGCTAAAACAAAGTCCGACTGTAACTCTGCACACGTCACTGCTGACCTGGTGGATGTTAGAGGTTCAAGTGTCCTGTTTCCAGCCGTGTTTGTTTTTAATGACGAGCTCGGCGTATGTAAAGTAATCCCTGTGCACCGCTGTGCTCTACACGCTCCGTTTATCGCAGGTTTGTCTATCGTTGGCTCTCTGTGATGTCAAGTGGATCTCCTTATATGGTCATCTCCAGTCCACAGCCCTGGCTGTGAGTGCAGAACCACCCCATGCTCAAACCTTTGTGTCTGTGAGCCACTCAGAAGATTGCTTTAAAAGGGGGAGGAGCTATAAGAGTTCAACGCTCAGTAAGATATGAAAGCGTTGTTTGGTATCGTGAGTCAGAGCAAAAGCAGGGAGCTGGAAATGAGTCGTTCCCAAAGCCTTTTCCGAACGTTGAATTCTCCCTTTGTTTTCTGAGGAGCTCCAAACTGTGGTCTTAATAATCTTACTCCTCTCTGTGGCTGCTAGGAGACACTGTGTCTGTAGTAATACACTATTTTTGTACACACACACACACACACAGTGCACCAATCCAATTACAGTATGATTGTCTGGAGAGCATCAGTGTAATGGAAGATCACATTTCTTCCTCTTGGTTCTTTCAGTTTTAATCAGATAACTGAAAGAAGATTCTCAGCATCGTCTTTTCTTCCCGTTTGCTTTCGGACTGTGACGCTGACCCGGCTCTCGAGTTTCGGGATGTTGGAGTGTCCTCGAATGGACCATCGGTGCTCGCAGAAGCCGGTGATGAAAACTTCACTGTGATGGATTGCACAGCACAGACGCCGTCACGTCTCAGAGAGGATTTTTCAGAGGGAGTCGATGGCAGCCTGGAGGGAAGAAAGTCATTTAAAAACCAATCAGCGGAGGTGTCGAAGCATTTTTGAGAACCACCAACTCGGTCCTTTAATGTGCACAGAAATTCGTGTCCTTCATTCTTTAACCGCTCACGTCTTTCTGGCATTTTTAAAATAAAATTACACTTGGATTCATTTGCTGTGATGAATGCTTTGGATTGTTTTATTGCACTCGAAGCTCCCGAGCAGTTTTAATGACTACACGACAGAAAAATGTGACTTAAAAAGAGGCCTTAGAGAACGAGATGGTGGGCTGCACTGTATTGAATGGAAGGACTAGTTAGCAATGAGAAAAATGCAACACTGCAGTCAGCAGCGATGAATTACACACTGTGGTAACGACTTCCTGTGGAGCTTTATTATAAAGAAACTAAAACAGTGTTTAAATTCAAAAGTCACCCTCCTTCAGTGACCGGCTAATACCAGAAATGACCGTAAAGCCTGCAGTTCCTCTACCGTCCAGCAGAGGCAGCAGTGAGTCAGTCCCCATAGACTCCCATGTTAAAGCTTTACAGCAGAAACAAACATGTTTACAGCCTGATACACAAACTGTTTCATCTCTATAGATAATTTTCCTAACATAACACCTGTTTTATAACTCACCTGGATTAAAGTTTGTATTATTAGGGGCGTGGCATCACTGACTGACAGGTGGATGGTGACACAGGTGGCTGTAGCTGCTAGCTCTTTGCTAGACTTCACCTCAGCTAACTGGAGTCCCTGAACTGGACCTGTGGACTGAGATGTTATGTATCTGTGTCTGTGTGATCCTCTCGTTCACTCTGCCTTCTTTTCCCAGCTTAAAACAAATCTAGAACATTTAAAAAAATAAATAAAAGTGGAGCCTCCTGATGGCGTCTAAATCTTGGACAGAATTATTCACACCTCTGCTGATAGAAATGTAATGTCAGATCAAATATGGTCCTCACTGTAAGACGGGCAGGCAGACTGATGATGCTGAAATTTGGCAGGAAATCAGCTCCAGATGGCGAATTTCTGTGTTTCCTTTCAGTAAAACAGAAAAGTTTCAGATGAGAAATCTGCAGGGAGTTTGTGCTTTTTGCCCTGAATTACATTCATTTGTGCAGCTCATACACATTAAACAGGCTGAAATAAACTGGAGCTGCTGTAACTCTGCCGTCACAGCTTCATGCACATTTCTACTCTGAACAAAAACCAAAAGGTCTGACTTTGATGTATCTCATTATTAGATTTTGTCATCAGTTTAAATTCAGCTGCACTTTTCCTCCAAATGATTTGTGCTGGAAGCCGGACGGATCATTTCTGTGTTTGCTGCCTTTGTGTGCATGGCTGTCTTCAGATGTGTCGTCGCGCTGACATCTGCTGTTATCGTTCGTGTTCGAGACGCAGATGGAGGCTGTGCGAGAGCCTCTTTCTGTCTCCACAGAACTTGTTTGACACTTGTTGGCACGACGGCTTCGGTTTAAATTACAAACAATGGGAACATTGAAGTCCAACAGGCACTCGTTCTTCTCTTCTATCACTTCTTGTTTTCCTCCAACCTGCACGGCCTGCTGTCCTCACAGGAGACAAGGCTAACGGCGTGACACTCACGTGTCCTTCACCCCCTGCATCTTCTCCTTCATCATCCTTTGTCCGATATATCCAATATATCCACTCTCCCCCGTCTGCACATGTGCAAACCATCTCAGCCTCGCTCTTCTAACTTTAACTCCAAACCACAAAATATTCTAAACAGCAGCACATGAGCGGTCCTAGGTTTTATGAGCCCCGCCCCCAAACCGTGTACTCCTAGCAACAGTCTCAAGCTTAGATAAATGAGGACGGTTGAATCAGGAAGGGCGTAAATCCATAATATCCAAATCAAACATGCAGATCATCAGCTGCACTAATAATGAAATAAACAAACTGATTGATATTAATAAATAAAGTTCACTGAGTAGTGGACACCACAGTTTTGACTGTATTGAAAGAGCTGTAGCGGTGCTTTGGCGCACCCTGCTGGTGATCTATGAGTTGTATTATATTGGAAGGAATATTTACAGACTGACATATTAAGAATAATGGAATAAGTTCTTAGCTTGAGTTCTTGTGCTTAAAATGTATGCTTTTATTTTGATAGGGGACAGGAAGGGTTTTTTTTAACCTCTCAGTGTCTCTGCATCTGTTTGAATTTTGACTTTGATAATTTTGGATTGAGTCACCGTCTACCTGAGAGGGACAAAGTGGCGCGTCGAGCTTCTGGAGAGCTACAATCGCTGTTTACTGTCTCCACTGAAACGTCTCATAATATTATCTAAGAACAGCACGTATAATGTGACAAGCTTGTGGAACTCCATGACTAACCTTTGTGTGTGAGGAAGACATCCAACTCAGATTCAAACTCCAAAATAAATTGCAGAGAATACTAAAGTTCAAAAGTCTTTTATTCTGAAAGGTTCAGGTGTACTACTTGGTATTATCTCAGTTTAAAAAAACAACAAAACACATGAAAGGTTTAAATAATTCAGTTTTCTTTGAAATCATCAGAAATATTGGGTTTAAGTTCTGTCACAGTTCAAACATGAACATGAGCACCGAGCTGTAAAAATCATTGATGCTTGACGGACACGCCCACAAAGGAACAACGTGTCAAACTTTCGGGGCTCCTGACTGTCGGGATTTCTTCTTAAATTCTTTCAGATGCATCTGCGCGTGTTTCCATTCAGGGTCGAGGCAGAACTTCTTTTTGGTCTCAGTGGTGACTCTGTAAGAAACACACAATGCACACTGTAAGGAACGTGCACAGCACCAGTGATGGGAAGAAGCTGAAAGGCACAAAATACCCGAAAACACGTAAAAATGCTTCATTCAAAATCATTTTAAAAAAGTGGAACGGATGATGAACCCAGTGAGAATGATCACATGAAGCAGATTTACAGGTCTAATGATTTGGAGACCAAAAATGGAGCAAAGAGACTAAAACTAAAGCTGCAGCTGAGCAGCTGATCAGGGAGCCACAGTAACACGAAGTAATTATGCCAGCTGCAAAACTCAAAACTCCAAATTAGATAACATGAATGTTCAACACCTGTCACATGACTTTCTGTGTTTACTCACATGATCGCTTCAAGGTTGCAGCCGCTGGTCATCGTCACGTTCGTCACCTTTGTCACTGGTATGTGGATTTTATTAGTGACGACCTCGCAGCATTCGACACCGTTTGTCACCATGTCTATAGCGACTGGCACTGTGGACACACACACAGAGTTAATACGAGTGCAGCTCAGACTCACGGCGCTCAGAGGTCAGAGGTCAGCGGTACTCACTGGCAGAGCTGTGCTTCAGGAAGCAGATGAGCGTCAGGACTGTGAGAGCCAGCAGAGTCTTCATGGTTCCCGACACAGACAGATGTTCTTCTGTTTGAATGTGCAGGGCTGATGTGCTCTGACCTGCTCGCTGCTCCCTTTATATCCGACGGCCACGTTCATGGCTCAGTGTGTTCTAAGAAGTCACGGTTCCCCTTTGGTTCCACTTCTCTTTTCTCCTTTCTTTAATACAGAGAAACAAAAATCGTTTTTGTGCTGCATTCTCTGAAGAAGTTTAACAGCTCTGATTTTAAAGCCTGAGGTTTATCTGAAAATTACACCCTCAGCAGCTGTGTACACCACAAACCACACAGAGCTTTCTCAGAGTGTCACAGTGACAAAACGTCCACTTAACTTCCATTAGAAGGTCCAAATCCAAATACAGAGTCCGCTTTATTTACCCGCAGTCGTGATCGATGGCAGCGTGACGTGACGATGTTTAATGAAAGCTGCATCGTGGCGTTCAGGAGTAAAACACAGTGGAGGTTTCATCCTACATCAGCTGTTTAAATGCTTTCCACACATCAGCTCTCTGCAGGAGCCTCATCATAATCCTCGGGGAAGCCGATCCATCCGCCATGGACTCTGCAGTTCAATGATTTAATGCCACATGAACGTCTTTCTTCTTCTTTCTTTTCTAATGTAAACATCTATCTGCTTTCTTTACTGCTATTCCAGGTCAGGGCTGTAGGGGTGCTACAGCCCAGCCCAGCCAATAGGGAGAGAGGCAGGTACATCCTGAGCAGGTCGCCGTCTGTCACAGGGCTGACTCAGAGACAGACCGCCATTCACACCTATGACCAATCATGAATCACCTGTTAGTCTAATGTGCTGCAGACTGCGGGAAAAAGCCAGAAAGAACCCACATGCAGAAAGGCGAGAGTGATGTAATATCGATGAGAAGAGAAAAAATTTGTAGTAAAACGTAATTAAAGGGGACTTATTTTCATTTTCTGCTCCATATTTTAGTCACGGGACTCTACGGTAGTTTTGCACGATGCAAAGATGAAAATAATCCTCCTTTGTCTGATACAAAGAAGGATTATTCAGAGACTACACCCTCCCATTGCCTGAGTGTGTAGTTCCTGAAATGCACTGCAGCTCTGTCTGGGACCCTCGGAGACAAACTGGGAGCGTTTCACACCTATGTTTAGTCTGCACAAGGTCTTTTATTTTGAAAAATGACAGGCTGCTGTGTGCCATCCCCAAGTCTGACTTCCTGCCCTGCTCATCAGCTCTCTGCAGCTCCACATGCCGTCCTTAAGAAATTAACCTGGAGCTAAATTTAGATCTGGGAGCAGAGGGACACCTCACAGGCGCTTCTGAAAACACATACCATAATTATGAGCTATTAAGCTGCAGGCTCACATAGAATCGTTTGTTAAGAAGGTGTAATTAAAGGAAATACTTCATTAAAGTCTGTTATGTTAATAAGGTTTGTGATTAGAGTTTTGGGGTCAGACCTCATCGATGCTTTGAAAGGACCGATCTGTACAACAGGCACAGAGGACGTCGTCACTGGTTGGCTGCAGTTCTTGCGCCATCAGCGAGGTGTGATTTTGGAACCACTGAACGAGTTTTATGAATGATGTTTCAGTCGGTTCACCCTGAACTATCCCTGAGACTCACAGCACGTAGAGGACGAGTGCAGTCACATAACAATAAATCAAAGTGAAGTGATTGGAACAGCGATGCTAACACTGCGTACAGCACTTTGTCTTTTAATCAAAACAGCATCAGCAAAAATGAATTTCAGACTTAGTGTTGGCAGATGAATGAAGGTGAATTAAAGACAGAACAGAAATACTTTCTGTTTTACTTCCACTTCCTCTTTCTGCTCCCATGAATTATTAATTCTTCTAAACATGTCAAATACGTCACAGTGAAGAAGTTGTGGTTTTACGATAAACTTCTGCTGATTAAGATTTATTTTCTTCTATTTACTGAATTCACTAAAGTTATTTTATGTGTGAGGCAGACCACAGAAAAGCCAGAGCGCTGGAAGTGAGCATGCCTCTGTGAGACATGAGAAAACCTTTCGAGTACTTCGATGTTTTGGTCAGAAGTCTTGCTGCAGCGTTTTGAACAGTCTGTAGACGCTTCAAGGGGTTTTTGTTTAAACATGTAAACAGTGAACAGTAGGCCAGTCTTCATTAAATGAATCCATGAATG